GTAGCAAAATGCTAGACAAAAGTAGCAAAATGCTAGACAAAAGTAGCAAAATGCTAGACAAAAGTAGCAAAATGCTAGACAAAAGTAGCAAAATGCTAGACAAAAGTAGCAAAATGCTAGACAAAAGTAGCAAAATGCTAGGTAAAAGTAGCCAAATGGTAGATAAAAGAAGACAAAACTAGAGCAAACATTTTGCTGAGGAAGATTTCAGAGAGAACAATGTTTTTTTTTTTTTTTTAATAAAGCGAAGAGACTTTGGGCATTTCTACAGGGAAAATATTTGTAAATAAATTTTATTATTTCAAAAAGTCAAAAAGTTTAAAAAGTCATAGCATCCATTTCCTGAATGAGCTTAATATTTTTGATAAATGGATGACTAAAATAACATACTGTATGCAGAAGAATGTTAGATTGCAACAAAATTCACAGAACAGTAAAAAAAAAAATACAACATGCTTCAGGTTTAAAGAAAAGTCAAAACATGCAGCAATAACTTTCCATATAGTCAGTCCACAAGGAGCTTTTGTCATGCACAAACAGGAAGAGCTTCAGTAACGCAACTGCACACCTGTTTGCTTTTTCCTGTCTTTCTTTGCCGCTCAACTCACAGGCCAAAAAAGAAGAAATGCAGACTTAACCTACAAAGCAACAAGTAATTAACCAACATTGATAGATACACTTACCAGCACAGACCCAAAACTACGCTGTCCAAATGGTTAACATCATACTGGATTGTTCCTGATTTTTATTTCAAGCTCTTAAAGAGCAAGACTGTGTTTGAGGACAGAGAGGATGCGTCTGGAATGGAGCGGGCTTTCGTCATTCTGTGACTCAAGAATTAATTATACTAGTTTTGTCTGATTCACCACAGTTGTGTTCGCTGCTGTTTGACTAAATGAAATGTCCACAAAAGCTCTGATTGCAGTGGTATCATTTTACCAGATTATTTAAAATTTTAATTATTTGATGTCTAAGATGGAAAACACATAAAAACTGACTATGGTAAGGAGATTAAAACAAAAACAAGAAATAAAGCAAATCTGTGTTTCTATTTATAGAACGCA